TTTAATATCTCACTTGTATTTATAATGCCCTGCAACAGGAGAATCATTTAGTAACTTTTCAGGAAAAGCTGGGTCTTTTTTTTTTTTTTAAGTATCTTATACAATGACATTTTTATTTACTTGTAAAGAAGAATCATTTATTTTCATTTGCAGGAAAATGGATAGAACTGGTAATTGTGTTAAGTAAAATAAGCCAGACTCAAAAGAACAGCTATCATGTTTTCTGGATGTCATATGCAAATTTTATATGCAAATTTTAGAGAAACTATATATGCAAAAGTCATGGAAAGGGACTATAAGGGGGCAAGGAAGAAATCTAAAGGGAGAGGCGAGAGTAAAACAAAAGATGGTAACTAGGAAGGAAGGGAGAAACATTAAGCATTGCCTGTTTTCTCTCCTACATAGTATTTTAGTGTGTGTGTGTGTGTGTGTGTGTACGCGCGTGCACGTGCGTGTGTGTAACAAGAAAACAGACAACTATTTGAAAGGAAGAAAGGGGACAGCTAAAGATGGGGAGGAGAGACAGAGGAAAGAGGGGCAGATAAGATCAAGGTACAATTATGTGTATGTGAAAAATCTCATAAGGAAACCCATCATTTTTCCGCTGACTAAAGAAGTTACACAGTTCATTTTTCCTATTTCTGAGATTATAATCCCTTTCCTTTTCCTCCCTCCTACCTCTACCATATCCCCTCCATGCTTTCTTTCAAATTCAGGGCCTGCTCTCACCAGTTGTTGTTATGTGCATATATACATACACATATGTACTCCTAAATATAACCTGCTCAGCCTGTATAATGTTATGAGTATGTATGTTTTCAGGGCAGATCATTTGGTATTGGATATCTGTTTTGCGGGCTCTTCTCTGGGGAAGAGCATTTCTCCCATTCTCGGCATTCCTAAGTTGCCTGTAGTTCTTCTGTATGGTCGAAGCCTCACGGTCTCCCTCCATCCCTGCTTAGCCTCGGCATGTCTATTGTTGTCCTTGTTCAGCCCATGAGTACACAGTTGCACCGGCGAGACTTTATGGGTGTAGCTTCGGCTATTACTAAGAGACACACACAGTCTCAGAGCAAACTGACCCTCTGGCTCTCTCTTTCTCCCTCCTCTTCCACAGTGTTCCCTGCGCCTTGGGACACCTACAGCTCTTGATTGGTTGCAGTTTTCTGTTATGGTCTTTGTTGCAAAGAGAAGTTTCCTTGATTGGGGAGAGGACTACAGTCATCTGTGGGTATAAGGACAGATATTTAGAGTGTAGTTAGAAGGTATGTAGGTTTAGTAAACGGGTGGTTGTAGGTTCTGCTCCAAGACCTCTGACTTCTCTAGCAGTTCCAGGCATTGTTTCTCCCTTGTTGAGCAGGTCCAATTAGAGAACTGTTGGTTACCACCAAGGTATGTATGGCGCTATTGCACCCTTAGGGTTATAGTGCCGTGCTGGTCAACTAGAGATTCATAGGCATCATAGCTGGGAAGCACTGCTGGTTGCTTTCCTGCTTTGGTTGGTTGTTTCCAGGTCAGTTCCAGCTCCAGAGTCTCTGGGTCCTGTGTCTGAAACAATAGGGACTCACTCACCTTGCACTTCTGGGGGACAAGCAAGGGCAAGAGAAATAACCTATAATGTTTTGGGAGTCTCTTGGACAACCATGACCACTCAATAAAGGGCTTTTTATATCTGGTGCAGTTTTGTTAGATAGCCTTTAGTTCTTGAAGGAACGTTGTCAGTCCAGATGAGAACGTTTCATTTAAACTATGTATAAATATTTATACACAGTCTTATGAGTATTGCAGGTTTTGCTTCTTGGTGTGTGTGTGTGTGTGTGTGTGTGTGTGTTATTTATTTGGCTTGCTTTTTTTGGTAGATAGTTAAAAGTTTGATAACTTATGACATTTCCAGACATCCTTATATTATTTTACCTTCCTTCTGTATTCATTTCCCTCCCTACTCCCTGATTAGAGCCTCTCCTTCTCTCCTTTCCCCAATGAGATCACTTATACCCAGTTACTTCTCTCTCTCTCTCTCTCTCTCCCTCTATCTGTCTCTCTCTCTCCCTCCCTCCCTTCCTCCCTCTCTCTCTCTCTGCCTGGGGTGTTTATGTAGGAATATTGGCTTCGAGCTGCTTTGGATCCAAGGTCACAGCTCAGGCAAGGGCTGTACTGGAGCTGTGTTTTCAGGGACAGTGCACAGATCTGTTCCACCCCACCACCTGCTTTTTTCTCCAGCCCAGGAGCTAAGAACAGCTTTCACATTTTTAAGTGGTTGAAAAAAATCAAAAGACTCATATTTCATAACATACGAATCACACTGTGTCACACATGAAAATTAAAATGACACGAAATGCAAGTTTTGGTGCCTATAAATAAAGTTGCCTTGGAACATGGCCAGGCATGCTCATTTGCATATTATCTGTGGCTGCTCTCAGGAAACAACAGCAAAGCCCTCTTGTCAGGGATTACGTGGCCCACAAGGTCTGAGCTGTTGACTGCCCAGCCTGCCAGATGAAGTGCTTGACCACTCTTGCCATGGAGCTTAAGGAAAAGGTGTGTTTGACCTTGTCCCATAGCCCCTCTGAATTTTTCTGTTACTTTCTTGGCTCCCTGCAGATCAGCTTCATTTGTTTGAAAATCCGTTTTGAGCTTTTTCATGCCAGACAACATGCTAGGTCTGAGGGCTCCAGCTGTGAAAAGCGAGAATTCAGCAGAAGAGCCGAATCACAGAGAAGGCCAAATGCACTGTATGGAAGGCGTAACTGTGGTAAGGGCCAAAGAGGAGCTCCGTGGCACTACAGAGGACCAAAGAGGTAACTGACTTCCTCTTCTGCAACATCAAATAAGACACGCCAAAGCATAGATCAGCAAGTATCTGGGATTCATGGGAAATGCTGAAATTATCGAAAGAAAAGGGAGGAGAAAGAATTTCAACTTCCTCACCACAACCCCCCTTTGCTTTCTTTTACCCTTAGCGTGCCGGGATGGAGTGCGGCAGGGGTACAGAAAAGGGGGTGTGCAAGGGATGAATGAGAGCCAGAGAAGGAGGGGCATGCCTTTCAAAGATTTTATGCTCAGCACAGAGGCGAGAAGTTGTCCAAGTGTCCGACTAACAAAACTCTAAAGACCACAGGAGAACAGACATAGTGCATTCATGCAATGAGTAACACTGGGCACCGACACGAATCTGCTAATGGCTGTGTGCAGTAAAGGAGTCTTTGCCATACATTATTAAGTTTAAAAAAGAAAGAAAGAAACAAAAGTCCAGAAGATAACACATGGCATGATGAACTTAAATTCTTTTTTTAACATTTATTTATTTTGGCTGAGTTAGGAATGGGGAATATATCTGATCAGAGGATAGCTTGTAAGAATCCATACTCTCCTTCTACCATGTGACTCTGAGGACATCAGGCTTAGCAAGAAGCACCTCATAAGCTATCTTGAGGGCTCATGATGGCCTTTTCACAAAGGCAAATGCAACAGAGGAGTGACAAGACATTTTGGGAACATACTCATGTACTTATATGTTTGTAAATATATGTACAAATGTTTAAAATGTTTTATGACAAATACAGTTTCATAAAGCAAAGGAAAAAAGTTTATCAGAGTGAGTGGTTCATACAAGGATGAATGCAGTACCTCAGAGCACTGTCATTAACGCTCTGTTCTTGTGAACAACGAATCCATAGGTAGTTATTAAATTTTAAAAAGCTTAAAAATGATAGCCAGGAAGGGATAGTGCATACCTTTAATCCCAGCACTTGAGAGGCAAAAGCAGGTAGATCTCTGCATTTGAGGTTAGCCTGGTCTACAGAGTGAGTTCCAGGACAGCCAGGACTACATAGCGAGGCCCTGTCAAAAACAAGAAAAAGAAAAGGAAGAAAGGAAAGAAGGAAGGCAGGCAGAGAGGCAGACAGGCAGGAAAAAAAGAAAGAGAGAGAGAGAAAAAGAGAGAGAGAGAGAGAGAGAGAGAGAGAGAGAGGAAGGAAGGAAGGAAGGAAGAGAAAGAAAAGCAAGAAAGAAAAACAAAAGAGAAACAGTGATCAAGAGATGTTATTAAAGCAATATAGAATGAAGGATGACATTATGCATTTTTTTCTGTATTTAAACTATTACAAAATTATAAAGCAGAGCTCTGTAACACACACACATACACTTGGGTATTCTTTTTAATACCCAGGTGAGAGAATCTTAATATGAGCCACTTGGAGCAACACATTCACATCCAAGAGCTCTCAACAAATTTGTACAATATATATTGACTATTAATTTCTTTAAAGCTAATGAGTTTAGAACTGGATATCCCAACATACGAACCAGTCAGCTGCCCACATCTTTTAAAGCAAGTCTCCTGAAAGACACGATGTAGTTTGTAATGTGAAGCCCTCCCTCTGGCTGTCCTTGGAACAGGGCAAGGGTGGAGGCCTGCCAAGAGCCTCCTATAGGGCTGGGAATGCGGCTCAATAGCAAAGCACTTGCCTAACAAGCAAAAGGGTTGGGTCCTCGGTGCTTCAGGAGGTCGCTCTGAATGTACAGTCAGAGTTGATTGGTGTAAGCGCAGGGAGGAGATGAATGCAGAAAGAATGAGAGAGATAAAATAATAGTAAGGATGTCCGAAAAGATTATAAGGTATCACATTATTAACTATCTACCATAAAAACAATGGGCAGATCGTGGCAGATGAAGACAAGTATCCTTTTGATAAACTGATTTCCTGTCCGCATTTACATCCAAGGAGTCAGTATTAAAGAAAGGCTAACATTGCTTGGCCTTGCATCACAGACCTGTATCCCTAGCCACTCAGGAGACTGAGGCAGGAGAATTACAACTTCAATAGCAAGCTGTCTGGGACTCGGTGAGACTCCTTCTCAAAATAACAGGCAAGAAAATGACTGAGGATACAGCTTAGTGGTAGAGCCTTTGTCTAGCACACAAGAGGATCTGGGTTCAATCCCTAGTGTGGGAAAAAGGAAGAGGAGGGGGGAGGAGGAAGCAGGGAGCAGCAATTCAGCAGTTCTATAAATACATGATAGGAAAGAAAATGAATCAGAACAGATCCTTTGACCAAGAGATTTCTAAAGCCCTGGAGAAGTTATCAGGTGAATTAACGGCCTGCATCTTAATGGTGACTTGAATTGTGATTGGACACCCTTAGAGCATTTTCAGCTAGGGAGAGCTCAAAATATTTCTCCCGTAAAAACTTCCTAGAGTTCCCACGCACGGGCGTTTTTATCCTTTCTCGGGCTGAACCAGTGTCTTTGTTTTGCTTCTGTTCTTATTCCTGGTGACATGACAGCAGATGACTCCAAGTAAAAACAGAAGAAGGTAGCGGGGTCAGTCAGCCACCGTTCCCTCTACCACGCTTGTCTCCTGAACCAACGGAACAGGGGTACAGGGCACTTGCAACCAAGGCTGCCCTGTTCCAAGCAGAAGTGAGTGATCTGACTGGGGATCAAAGATAAGCATGTGTCCATCAAATAGAGTGAATAATAAGAATGGTAATCTATTAAAATTGCTAGAAGGACAAAAGCTTTGAAAGCCCTAAAAAGAGGCACCGATTTTTAATTCTGAGAATTCCAGAGGGCGGCTTGTTCAGGCAGTTCGTTCACACATCCATGCTCCAGCCAGGCTGGAGGTGAGGCAGGGTGTGATTCCCACTCCAGAGCTTCTGGGATACACTCGGTACGGTTGTATGCCCAGCGGAAATGGAAATTATGCGCTCTGGTAACCCTGAACGACATCACAGCTAACTCATTTGCATTGAAAGTTGGGCAAGTTTGCCCCCAAGTAACAGATAAACATGTCTGCATGGACTGTCAAACCTCACTGCCACAGAGTTAGTTAGGACCTGGGCATCATCTAACCAACCTTACTCATGGGGCAGAAAGGGAAACTGAGAATCAGAGACCCCAAGTGACTAGAATCTGGCAAACTTGGTAGAGGAGCTAGAGCACACACACCCCTTTCTGCCCCCTCTACCCCTGAGCGTCGGTGGAAATCATCCTGTTATCTTACTACAGACAGAAAGCAATGAGGGAGACAAGATGGAGAAAAAAAGAAATTGAAACAGAGAAGGAAGGATGGAAGAGATAGGCAGCGACAGAAATTGCAGGCGAGACTGTCTGCCTCGCCTGTCTTTATCTTTCTCTCTATCTGCCTCATCTCATTCTTTTCTGAATCCTGTCTCTTTCTCCCACAGGCCGGCTCCTGAAAACATAGTGTTATTTCCTTTATTCCAAATGCCTTCAAAAGGAGCCTACAAATGAGTAGAATGTTGGTGGGGCTATCCAAAATGGTGGGAAGAATTTTCCAGTACCTTTGCCCATCCTCCACTACTGCTAAGGAGGAAGGAAGGTGCGGGTCATTTAGACTCATGAACTTTCATAGAAACGGAATTGTGGACTTGGCCACCCAAATCTAAAGGGCCCACATTTTAACAGGGTGCTCACCTGATTTGGGTGCAGACAGCACAGCTGTGGCCAGTACTTGAGACAGTCCTTCTGGTGTGTGCCTCCTGCAAGCACACATTGTCTTTCTGGCCCCCAAGAGGGAGACAGGTCAGAGACGTTAAAGATTAAGATTTACACAAGTCTTTTAAATGCTAAGGAATCCATCGTGGGATATGCCTCGAAGTGGATACATTCATTTTAAACAGTTCCTTCCCTGAGAACTGCTTTTGGTCTGTCTTCTTCAGGCCGGATGTCAACTGTGACAAATTCATAGGAATCCCTCTAAGAAGGTTGGTTCTACAAATCCTAAAGGGATGTAGCTTTTCCATAGCTACTCCTGAATCCAAGGCATCAAGAGGGGTGGGAAATTTAAATATTTTCAACTTGCCAGGTCCCAAGGCAAAGCAAATCCACCTACATGTTGTTGAAATGAAGGATTCAGTTAGTAAGAAGCAGAAAGACACCAATGAGTTCCCCCTGCTTTACAGAGATGATCCTGCAGCCGAAGAGCCTAATGAGCAGTCTGGTGGCAAAAATCACAATGCAAAACAAATTAGCCGGGGAATTTTCGAGATGTCAGTTTCAATGAGGGAGGAACAGACAAAGAATAAAAATCACCTCATGTAAAAGATTGCCAACTTTGAAGCTGCTCAGGGACTATTGACTTATAGCCTTATTTTTCTCAAGTGCAGTGTCATCCCATGTGTCACATTGACACAGTGAGGATTTCTTGTGAAATAATCCCTTTGCCAACATCAGGGAATCGCCCTCCCCTTTGATCTAGTCAGATATGATCTTGAAAGTTGGCCTACTTACACACAGCTCCAGTGAGGCTGCTCCAAGGAAGACCTCGGAAACGGGGAGAGAACAGCACACACAACAGAGAACGGGTAAGCCTTTGAGAGGAACATGTGCGCACACACATATATGTGCACACACATATATGTGCATATATGAAGCATTTTATAGCTTCCACAGGTTTGACTTAATCTGCAGAGATTGCCAAGCCAAGCACCTTTCATAATTAGAACTGTGTGTTACTAACTCTTCACAGCACAAAGGCTAGAACAAAGACCCAAACTTCTATCTTGAAGAATCTGTGTGTGTGTGTGCGTGCGCACTCGCCTCTAGCTGTGTAGGTGTGTGTGTATGTGTGTGTGTGGCTGTAGTATGTGTGTATGTCTGCATGTGCACATGTCACATGTATGTGGCTGGCTGTATAGGTGTGTGTGTGTAGTGTGGTGTGTGTCTGTCTCTGTGTGTGTGTGCATGCATGTGTGTGGCTAGATGTATAGGTGTGTGTGTATGTGTAGGCATGTGTGTGGAGGCCAGAGGTGAAGCCTCCTCCATTCTTTCCTGTCTTACTTTCTGGAACAGTGTCTCACTGATTCAAAGATTGGCCACTGAACCCCAGTGGTCTTCTGTTTCCACCTCCCCATCTCTGGGATTACAGGTTCACCCTGCCAATCCTGGCTTTTTAAAGCACTGTACCAACCATCTCCTCATCTCCATTCTTCTTTCTTCTCTGTACGCGTGCCACCAGCTCCGTCATTACAGAACTCTTGGTACCCAGCACAGTGACAGCATCATTGTATCATCACCTGTTGCTCAGCACAAAGGCCCCAGCCACAAGACTGGAAGCATTTTCACGCTCTGCTTAACGTTTGAATGGAACACACTCAGGGACTCCAGGAGAACTGCAAAGTTGCAATACCACCATTAAAACAGCACACATATGTACACAGTCATGCATGCATATGCTTCCTGGGCCTTCCCAAGACTTTTTCTTCTCTTTCTATTGGACTTTGCATCCGGCACTGAGACTCTGGATGTCTGAGGACAGTCCGGTCTGCTTTACATTTGAGCCCACTCCATGGCCAGCTCTACCCCGCTGTAAAATCAAGCAAACGTAAGCTCCTGTCTCTTCCTCAGGTGCAGACTGATGAGAACCAGGACCCAGTCATAAAGACCTGGATGTTTTGCCTCATCAGAAGGAGTTTGGTGAACACGGAGAATTAAAATAGTTTATGAACATGGGACGAGACCTCTGGGAAGGAAAGCAAGGGTGAGAGGGAACATTTTGGCTCACTGCTGTTTTTTAAAAAATGTGTTTTCAAAACCAATTACTACAATATACTGACTGAGCAGTCTAAGCTCAGGCCAATCAACTGCACCGGCTTTCTTGGAACCCCTCATTCTTGGGGTGGGGGAGGGGCAGACAGCTCTCTATAGAACCCTCTTGATATAAGAAAGGATTTCTTTTTTAAAGGACATCTTTTATTTTCCCATCTGTTTCCTCTCACAGCACAGTTTGGGGTCAGATCAGGTCTTCTGGCATTCAGGAGAATAATGTGGCCCTTTCCTTCACTGACTGTGGGCATCCTGACTGGAAAGGGCTTACTTTTGCCTCTTATTTCACCACAGAGAGGCACAGAGTGAGGAGAGCACTCCTGATGGCCTGTGTCTGAGAACCTGCCACACATAAACAGGGTGAATGAATTTCGAAGGGCAAAAGAAAGAAAAAGAAACACCCCCAAAGGAGAGGGTGTTAATTGAATTTGGTTTCAAAATTTGCAAATTCCTGGATCTGCTTAAGGCAAATGAAGCATTAACGGTGCAGAGCCCATTGTGCCTGCTGGACAGGACCTCCTGATGTGGAAGGGGACAGTATGCAGGCCTTTCTAGTGGCTGCTTTGTCTTTCAACATGGCGAGAGTTGGCCCTCACCATTGTGATGTGATGTGGAGTGACAGCGGACACCCAAGCACCCGCAACTGCAAATTTTTATATGAATCCAAGTAAAACGGAGGAGAAAAACAAGAGACTTTCTATGCATCTGCTAAAAGGATGAAATGCTTCCCCCTCTCCATCCCCTCCTTGGAGGATGATCTCCCTCAGTGGAGGGGTGAGCAAGCTGATGGTGTGCAGGCTGCCAAGGAATCCAAGCCTTAGGGTCTAAGCCATCAGCCTGCTGGCTGCACTGGCCATGTCCTGAGTGTAAGGGATTCCCTCTTCCTCTTAGGGTCTAAGCCATCAGCCTGCTGGCTGCACTGGCCATGTCCTGAGTGTAAGGGATTCCCTCTTCCTCTTAGGGTCTAAGCCACCAGCCTGCTGGCTGCACTGGCCATGTCCTGAGTGTAAGGGACTCCCTCTTCCTCCTCTACTTCTGTGAGACTCAGGCTGATTCCTTAACTAGAACTGTGACTATGCTAGACTGCTGCAGGCCCACAGCTTAACTACAGTTGACTACTAGCCCCCTTACTAGCCATCCCTCGCCCACCTATTTCTGACCTAAACGACTTGGGATTAACAAGTAAAGAGTATTAGGATGTATTAGCAAAACCAGCCAAAAGGCTAAGGATGCCATCACATGTCCCTGCTTTGCTGTCATCCCCATCTAATGTCTCTGCCAATACACTTTAAAAGTGCACTGATTTATGACTTTGTCTGTTACAATAAAACTGCATCAAACTGTTACAATCCTGGAATGTTGAATTTAGGATGACTTGACTCTGTGTTCCTAAGGCTATGGTCACCCAATTTGGCTTCAAAATAAACGGTCCCTTTCTTAACTTCTTGTGAGGTTAAGGATGTGTTTTTGTATTAACAATGCCATCTTTGATGTAGAGTTAACCCTTACCAAATAGTGAGTTGGCTGTCACCTTGGCTATAGATTTACTGGCTTCTAGAATTCTGAGTAATGAATTCCTGTTGTTCATAAATTACCTGATCCAAGACATTTTGGTTCTTTGTTGCTGCTGTTGATTTGGTTTGGATTTGGGGTTTTCGAGACAGGGTTTCTCTGTATAATAACCCTGACTGTCCTGGAATTCACTTTGTAGACCAAGCTAGCCTTGAACTCACAGAGATCTGCCTGCCTCTGTCTCCTTAGTGCTGGGAGTAAAGGCTGCACAACTGCAATAGGTGAATGAACTAAGACAATGTTCTCCTAGGAGAGATGACAGAAATTGGCTTCCTGCCTCTAGGCATGCACAACCAGGAAAGGCCATGTCTGTGGTGAGAAGATAGCCATCTGCCAAGCAGAAAAGGGGTCCTCCCCAAAACATGACCATGCTGATACTGTATTCTTAGACTGCTTACCCCCAGAACTGTAAAACATGTATACCTGATGTTTAAGCCACTCTGCCCAAGCTGCCTAAGAAGGATGAACCCTGTCTAACTCTGTCCCCACCTCACAGCTGGCAAGCTCATCCCCCTGTCACCTTCCTTCCTCCTGGCTAAAAATAATCCCCCCTTACCCAGGCCTAACAGATCTTCATATCCTTCCTTCCTTCCTTTGGCTATAGATGATGGGAATAAAACCTAATTCCCAGAGTGGGGGGAGACTCAGAAACAACATGCACATATATGTAGACTATGTACACATGACACAGAGAAGACCAACCATGCTAACATCACCTCGAGACAGATTTTCAACTTCATCTTTCCAAGGAGATACTGTTATTCAAATTTCCATCTGGATTCAGCACCCTCCAACAAGGTCTTTCTGACATGTGTGTCACTGTCTGGTTCTTATAAACATCCTCTTTAAGAGGGGTCAAAGGAAGCAGAAGGAAGAAGGCATTAGTGAAGCCTGTCTCATCGGTGATGTATTTTAGAAATCTCCCAGCAACGAGCCTTTTTGTTATTGAAGTGAAATGTTTTTGAAACACAAAGACACAAAGCAAAATACACAGAATCCACACCGTCTGGTTATGTTCACACACAAAACATTGCTGGACTTGACAGAGCAGTAACGTTTTGCTGAAAGTCACTGTGGAGAGGGTCAGCAGGGCAGATAACAGAGAGGCAGGTCCCCGCTGAGGTGGAATTTCCACGCAGCCTCGCCTCTGTTTGCCTCTAAATATACCCTGTTGTTACTTGGCCTGGAAATTTTAGATGTAACCACACTGGGTGATCAGCCTTGCTTCCCCAAAGTCAGAAGCATCATGAAGAATGGTATCACTGTTTACCATCATGAGAGTATCACGAAGGATGCTATTGCAATTAAGCTAGTAGTTGTCATCTCCCCCAGATACTGCAGTACAACTTGAAAGCATGGGGGTGGAAAAAGCACAGAGAATTATAGACAAGAGTCAAGTGCTGATGAATGGAGATGGGTGTTGTCCAGTTCAGATGCCCTCCAGGAAGAAAGAATGACACTTTCTGAAGGCACAGGGAGACTGGGGAAAGATCAGAAAACAAACCTAAGTAGACGGGACCATCACAAGTGTCTGAACACCTATGAGCTTCATCAGGAGAGGATGAGAGAGAGGACGAATCCACACATTCAGGAAGTACCCCTGAATCACAAATCCATGTCCTTGAATGTCCAGGCAGGACACCCAAAGAGTGGCATTTCTTGGGTTAGGAAGGTAGTTAAGTTTGTAGAGTACTTACTGCATGGAGGAAGCCCTGGGTTCACTTCCATAATCTTTATAATATTAAATTGTTCATTAATAAACATATTTATTGCTATCACTTATTAAAGACTTAAAGTTCTATTCCATGGTGGCCTGATATAGTCCTAGTTCAGTCAACTTCTAAATTACATTGTTTTTGTTGGCTTTAGAATAGTATCTTACTTTTTTATTATGACTTTACTTCCTGGATAAAGTCAATGTGAAATGGAAGGAGTCTCCTTTCTTAGTTAATTTTCTATTGCTGAGATAAGACACCATGACCGAGGCAACTTATGAAAGACAGCATTTATTTGGGACTTACAGTTTTCGAGGATTAGAGTCCATAACCATCATGGCAGCCAGCATGGCAGTGGAGCAGTAGCCGAGGCCTTATATCTTAACCCACAAGCATGAGGCAGAGAGAGATAAATGGGAATGGCATGGGATTTTGGAATCTCAAAGCCCAGCCTGACCCCACTTCTTCCTGCAAAGACACACTTCCTAATCCTTCCCAGACAGTTTTGCCAACTGGTAACCAAACATTCAAAACAGATAAACTTATGAGGGCCATTCTCATTCAAACCACCATATTCTCCAACTTAATTATTCCTTCCTGCCAATCAAGGAAGGAAGTTTTCCTGAGCTGAGATGCCTCAGGGGTAGTTTTCAGTAGAGAAACTTTCTCCTATATTTCCTGCTCTCTTTGATTCCCCTGTCCCTTCTTCTCCTTAGATCTTTTTCAAGTCAACTCAAAGCATCTACCCACTACCTTTGCAGATCCCATCCCCTCTTAGATGAGGAATTCAACTTCAGGCCCCTGTTTGCTTCTCATGAATGCCCAAGTGTGGCTGCTCTGAAGTTGAGAAGTTCTAGGGCATGAATAAAGGGGTGAGATCTAGCCTTGTGAATGAGCAGAAAACTAGGTGCCAGTTCTGGTAATATTTTCATCTCTACCAGGAGTACCCTGGCAATCTCCCAACTGGTTCCCTTAATGATTGCAGAAAGTCTCTTCCCTAGCCAAGTGTTAATTTACTTTGGAGCTACCACAATGTAATCTCTGGAAAAGAGAAGACATCTCTACTACTTGACTTTGATCTTGCCCCTTTCAAGATAATGAGGTCTGGCATGCCGGTGTGACGGAACCTTTCACTCTTGCTTAGTTGAGCATCTATATGCCACAACACACATCACAGTAGCTATAAATGGCTCTCTGTCTGCCAATCCCAATGGCCAGACAGCACCAGCTCTATGGTTGTTCTCTTCTGATTTGTTTGGATGCCAAATGGTCCTCTAAGAGGTAGGTTCATATGAAGGAACAATGAGAGCAGATCCTTCTAGAAACCCTCCTGGAACCCAAAGAACACTACTGAAGTGAAGCTATTGGATCCAAAACTTCCTTTCTTCCTTGCTATTCCAAGACCAACACAAAAAAGAACCCCATCCCTAGATTAGCACGTACGGGTGGAGACCCAAGTTATCAACATGATACTTGGATGCAAGTAGACTGGGTTGCCTGCAATCTTACCAAGTTCTTAGATATGAGTCCAAAAATTGAGGCCTTTCTAGCTCTGGAGAATGTATCACTTGCAGAAGACACTCATGATGACAGAGGTTCTGTCCCACCTGATCTGGCCACCCCCTTCAGTCCCAAATAAACACACAGATGCTACACTAATTATTAAACTGATGGCCGATGGCTGGGCTTATTAATATCTAGCTCTCTCTTAATCATTAACCCATAACTACTAATCTATGTATTTCTACATGGCCTTATTTTACCAGAGAACACCTGGCACATCCTACCTTCCCTGTCTCTACATGGCATCTCCTCGTGGTCTCTCTCTGCCTTCCTTTTCCCAGCATTCTTCCTGTCTCCTAGCCATGCCTATCTTCCTGCCTCTACTGGCCAGTGTTTCATTCATCAACCAGTAAGAGAAACATGTAATCAGAATACACTCATATATACATATATACACTCATTCCATTTACTCATGGCTTTTGCGAGCCCCTCTGCCTTCAATCACAATTTTCTCCCTGGCTTTTCCTTTCCTTCCACCCTTTCCTGCCTCCCATACAACCTTCGATAGTAACAACCATGCCCACTTAAGAAAAGACAAAACATCAAATTGTAAGGTTTACAGTGAAATTCAGCTGGATCTTAAAAACCAACTCCTTTGGGGCCCTTTACTTATCCCTGTTTTCACAGCAGAATTTATCACATCCTCCCTCCTAAGTCACTGCCACTCCAGGGCAAACACATTCATCACACTCAATTAAGCAAAAAAACTGAAGAGTCTCAAAGAAATCTTTGGCTGTTCTCCTCCCCTCCTCCCTACACTGAGCTGTGGCTAAAAGCAACACTGATATTGTAAAAGCTATTAGAAACTTTATTACCCCCGGCTTTGTGTCTTCTCGTAAACCTATTCGCATTTTCCCTCTCTCTCTTGTCGCCTCTATCAGACTATGCAGTTCACACAGAGGACCAATGTCAGGTCACTTTGTCCTCAGTTCTCCCAACCCAACTACGGGAACAGTAGTTCTCAATATATACTGGAGAGTTTATTTGGCTTGGTTGGTTGTCATGGAGCTGATGGTGAAGCCCCAGGCGTCATTCATGCTACCCAAATGGTCTACCATTGATCTATATCCAAAGCACACTGATGTGAACTGGTTGAGTCCATGTTCATGACTTCCATTGGGTCTGGGAAGTCACAGCCATCCTACAGATACCATCCTACCTGATTTCTCAAGGAAGCCATCTCAAAGACTGGGAATATAGCTTGGTAGGAGAGTGCTTGTCTAGCATGCACAAGGCTCCAGGTTCAGTCCACGGCATCACAAAAAAAAATTACAGTAAATAAATTTAAAGAAACTAACTGTAAATTTGATCAACGGAGCTACTGCATTCATGGCAGGGTACCGGATGCAAAGGGAGTGTTTGCTGTGTGTTGCAAGTCACTTCTCATGTGTGATCCTGTTTTTCACATTGAAGAAGAAGGCATTTTTGTTCTGTATTTTCTCTCACCTAAGGACTGGTCCAGCCTCCACAACATGTGCCAAGGAGCAGGCAGTGTAGCCCCAAGGTTTTTTTAGCCCCTTGATAATCGTATCATTATGCATTCGCCACTGAGGGTGAGGTGCATTGTAATGTTTCCCACAGCCAGCAAGAA